ATGTATATGACATCTACATTAATATAGTACAAAAGACTATATATTTTAAATAAAATAGTTGACTATGTAAAAAAATTAACGATGTAAGAAATGGGGAAATAAAGCAAAATGAACATAAAGCGCCTTGCAAAAGAGCAAACTAAACTAAGCAGTCAGAAAAAGCATGCATATAATTTATACCTTATTCTAAATATAAAAGGAAAAAAACTCAAAGAAATCATACACTGTTCAATCAGGTCACTGCATCAGAGGTCCAGGGCTGAGAAATGACAAATTTCAGTAAGTCAGCTGTATAGTTAGATAACAAGGTTCCGTCCATAAGTGCATAATCATGTGTTTCCAGCTATTCCTACTCAAGATAAGGAATCATATATAAAGATAATAAAGCAATGAATCCGTGAACACCTAGAGGCAAACAAAGTCATAACCAAAAGCCAACATGGGTTTGTCAAAAATAGATCATGCCAGACAAATCTTATTGCATTCTTTGTCAAAATGACAAAATTAGCAGACCAAAGAAATAGTATGGATATTCGGCCTTTAGTAAGGCATATGATAAAGTGGACCACAATTTAATACTTGATAAGACAGAAAAATGTGGGTTAGACAGCATCACCACCAGATGGATTCATAATTAACTGACCAAATGCACTTAACATATAGTCTTCAAGGGAACTGCATCTATCTACATGGAGGGAAGTATGCAGTGGGGTAGTCCAAGGTTCTGTCTTAGGCCTAGTACTCTTCAATGTCTTCATAAATGACTTAGATGAGGGGATAGATGGGGAATTCATCAAATTTACAGATGACATCAAGCTGGCAGGAATAGCCAATACTCCAGAAGATAGGCTTAAGATACAGTAGGATCTTGACAGATTTGAACGTTAGGTGCTATCTAACAAAATGAAAGTCATTTATGAAAAAAGTAAGGTTCTACATTTAGGCAAGAAAAACCAAATGCATAGGTATAGTATAGGTGGTACCTGGCTCAATAATAGTAATTGTGAGAGGGATTTTGGAGAACTAGTGGACAATCCCTTAAATATGAGCCAACAGTATGCTGCCAAAAAAGGCAACACAATCCTAGGCATTAACAGAGGGATAGAATCAAGATCATGTGGAGTGTTAATACTGCTCTATAATGCCTTGGTAAGGCCACACTTGGAATACTGCATCCATTTTCGGTCACCACAATGTAAAAAAGATGTTGAGAGTGTAGAAAGAGTACAGAGGAGAGCAACAAAGATGATGAGGGAACTGGAGGCTAAAATATATAAAGAAAGGTTGCTGTAATTAATTATGTCTAGTTGAATGAAAAGAAAGACTAGGGATAACATGATAGCAGTGTTCCAATATCTAAGGGGTTGCCATAAAGAAGAGTGAGTCAACCTATTCTCCAAAGCACCTGGAGGCAGGATAAGAAGCAATGGATGGACATTAATCAAGATGAGAGACAAACTAGAAATAAAAAGAAATTTCCTAATAGAGCAATTAATCAGTAGAATGACTTGCCTCTGGAAGTTGTGTATACTCCAACACTCAAAGCTTTCAAGAAGACCATTTGTCTGAAATTGGAGAGGGTTCCCTGCCTGAGCAGGGGCTTGGATTAGAAGATCTCCAAGATCCCTTTAATTTTGTTATTCTGTTAAATTCTTTACATATTAAAATTGCTAGAGTTTATAGATATAGTTTAACAAAATATTAAGATTTTTAACCTCTAGGTTGTTTTCTAATAACACAATTAATCATAGTTATCATAATAATAAGGCATTACAAGAAATATTGTATATAAGCAAAGTAAACTAAATAATTAAGTCAACACATTTGTAGTGTTTACCAAAGTTAAAACTGACTCCATCTCTGGCATATAAAGCTAACCTTTAGAAAGTCCTAACCTTTTAAAAATGTCTTTAGCTTCTTTTGCTGAACTTATTTGAATTTTTAGTCATGAGAAATATATCTAACATTGGTTTAAAGCCTAAAGCCATTTATTGGGAAATAAAGGATACTCTTGTATATTGGCTAAATTAAAGGGTTTTTTTAAATCAATAATAAGTTGTTAGTTGTCTTAATAAAGACCTTCTCAAATATCTTCAATGCCTCTGATGTTTCAGAGAATGCAAGGTAATTGGGTTCAAACAATGTATTTTATATTTTTTGAACCCAAAACTTTTCAAAATTTTAACTTTATTACCTTTTCAACTATTTTAAATAAATTCTCAATTAAGAAAATGTTTTCATTCAGAGACTCTATGAGCATTTTATATTAATGAGTAAAATCAATGGCAGTTTTTACAGTTAAGTGTGTCACACTCCTACTTTAGGACAGTAAAAAGGGATGAAAATATAGTCAGATATATTCCTATTCTGTGCCAAAGTAATGCTGTATTATAGAAATTATGAAGTTAGGAATGCCAGTATGGTGTAATGGTTGAGGTTTTGGATTATTAGGGATATCTTAAGTTCCAGTCCAACCTCAGCCAGTTAAGTTGCCTGGGATAATTTTGGATTGGAATTTTGCTGTCTTCAGTTCATATACAAAAAGTGGAACAGATCAAACAGATATATTTCCTTCAAGAAAAAATGTCTTGAAACCATGCAAGCATGTTGAACATGTTGAATTAAGATAATACTTTGCAAATACAATTTGCAATTTGCAAACAATTGTATGCTTTGTAGTTGGATTTTAGAAAGCTTAGAATTCTTAAAAAAACATTATTCCCTAAAATAAAGTAAAGGATGTAAGTCAAAATTTTGCTAGGATTTAAAATATATATCACCTATTGTTGTCTGAGAAAAGAAGACTACATACAAGATTGAAAAAAAGCAAAATATATAATCTGCGCCTGAACTGATTTTTTTATAGGATTACTTTCATACTTTTGAACATACTTATAAAACAATGAAAGTTAGAAACTTTTAACTTATCCAAAATTATGACAAATTCCCTTAAAGTTAAATGTTAAAGGCTCTGTATGCAATTTTGATAGTTATTGTTAATTTTTCTTTACATGATAATAAATTAAAGATTTCAAAAATATTTGTTTCATATATCCCCAAAATACTTGTTTCATACTTCCCAAAATAAACACTGTTATACATTTCAACATGAATTTAAAATTCTATGGTCTCTAATGTTCATAATTTCAGGTTATAAAGAGCTTCTCATACACTTCATTGTTATGGAGTACTCTTATGTTAAAATCTGTTTATATGTTTGAATTCCTGTGGCTAATATAGGAATTGGATGAAGTATAATTATTTTTTTAAATATCTTAGATCTTTGGTTATTTAATTAATAACTTCTCTTCTTTTTCTGTTTTTTTTTTGTGAAGTTGAATCAAAAGAATGTATGTAACCTAATTCTTGGAATATTAGTTGAATTTTGTGATAATCCTAAAACTGTATCCCATATCAATGTATGGCGAGGGAGAAAAGACCAAACAGCAGCTAATTTATTAATAAACCTATGGAGACAAGAAGAAGAAGAGATGGGAGTGAAACATGATAAAGCTGGAAGAATTGTCGGTAAGTACTGACCCATTTTTTTTTCTCATGAACAATCATAGTCTGAAGACAATCCTAATTTTTCAAGTTTTTTTAATCCTACATAGATACTTTTGCTGTGACTAAAAAAATGTTTTAATGCTTTGATAAGTTAGAAGAAACATGGGTAAGTTGGTCATAAAAAAAGTTGGACAGGAAAAGGCTTGATTTGAATATACCAATAGTCTGCAATTAACCACTGGCAAAAATCACTGCAATTTAAAAATTCTGATTAAAAGGCAAAGAGCAGGCAGCAGGTATGAACAGAATGGAGGCACCTCAACTTATGTTTTCCACTATAAACCCTTATAGACATATGGATTATTATTAAAAAGTCATAGTTCATCTCTAAGGAAGATGGACAGTTACAAAATATATATAAATAGATATGCATGCATATATACTTCATTTATCTATCTATGGGTGAACTTGAAAATCATGCTGGGCTTTAACTATAGTTAATTAAATCAGAAACAAGCTGTACTTCCTGAAAATGTACCAGTATATTATTTTAAAAAGTAAGAATATGCTTTTTTCCATAATTTGTTTACTATGAAATAGCATTTGAAGCTGAGATTGTTTTTCATAAACATCATCAGTTTCCTAGAAAATAATGATTTGTACCAATGAATACAATATAGAAATCAGAATGTGATACAATATGATTTCCTAACAAATGTTACATTCTTTTTCTGCAACCAAATTACATAGGTTAAATTTATATTTAGTCATTAAAATCATATAGTCTTCAAGATACCTCACTAATTAAAATACAAACGACATTGCTATAAATGTAGTATGATTTTTTTAAAAAAACTGGAAAGTTATTGAATAATATGAAATCTGCTAGTAGAAGCAGATGTTAATTAACTTCACAATAAAATGTACATAAATAATAGATCACTGCTGTAGTAATGGCTGAAAAAAATTCATTGCAAGTATTTATAATTTGTTGACTATATATACTATTAAGAAATGTGAACAGTTGTGAGAACATTACTGCTTTTGCAGATTCTTCTATACTAATATATTTCACAAGAGTTGTTGTTGTTGTTAGTCGCAAAGTCATGTCCGACCCATCATGACCCCATGGACAACATTCCTCCAGGCCTATAAATATTCACAAGAGTATTTATAAGTAAAGCAATTCCAATTTTCATCATATAACTATTAAAGAATTATTATTTCTAAAACTTTTATTTAAAAAAAATTATAGGATGCAATTAACATTTCTCTAAAATATTACAGTTGCTGTAGACCTTTTAATGAGTTTTTTTAATGCCATAGATACAAAGAAACCACTAGTTGGCCAGTTCCAAAAGACACAAGAAGTAATTCCAATGCCTGCTAGCTGTCCCACAATTGCTGTCATGGATGTTGCTGAAAATATGAGAGCAAAGATTTATTGTTTAATATGTAAATTAGGTAAGGGCTGTGAGCTTTTTTCCAACAAATTGCTTTTCCATGTATTATTGATAGTAAACAAAAATAACAGAAAAAGATTGATACAAGCCAACTTGAAAAAAAACAGCAATCCAGAATTGTAAGGATTATAGTTGAGTTGCTATTACAAAACATTAGTAATAAAATTGTCAGCAATTGGTCTTGAAAATGCTTATATATTTAATATATATAAAAGGTTCTGCAAGTACAGATAGTCCTCAGTTAATGATAATAATTGGAACTGGAGTTTTCATTGCTAAATGATGTACGGTGTGTCAAGTACGGATGTCATGTGACTGCATTACTTAGTGACAGTAATCCCTATTCCAATGTTATCTAAATCCCACCACTCATTGGGCAAATCCCTACCTATGCCACTTCCAGCTTGGTCCCTCTCAGTCCTGAATCTCAGTCAGGACTGCCTCTTCAGCTCCCTCAGCCACTTACATGTCTTATTTATAGAGTGGCATGCAGCACCGACAGTGCTGATAGAGCTGAGTGAAGTAGATGCTCAGGGCTTCAGCAATTTCAGCTGCATGCTGTTGTCTTTAGGCTTCTGCCTCAGCCACAGTGCTACTACCACGGCTAGCTGCCTGAGCAGAAACCTAAGTCTGGGAATTTGGAAGGCCTCAGAAGAATTGTGAGAAGTATTCCAGGAAAATAATAGCACTATATTTGGATAGGAGTGCACAAGATTTGGAGAGGGACAAGCACAGCTTTGCAAAAAAGGCCTGGCATGGCCAGCAGCTGCTCACATAGTGCCACCTTGTTAGTAATGGGAGAAAGAAAATGGAAAAGGTAGCATGGGAGTAACAAGGTCTGCAGAGTTCACAGCAGTGGGGGAAGCTGTTACTTTGTGCTCTGGCATTGGACTGGTTGAGTGTAGAGCCTGAGGCGGTACTCCTTGGTGGTAGCTCTCCTTTCATGTTGGTTTGTGCTGGTAGTACTGAGCCTGAAGTAGCGGCCTAAGATGGTGGTAGCCAGCAAGATTGCTGAAGGCCCTGGGCCTCCACTTCAGCCCTAATGCCACTGTCCACTACCAAGAAGTCCACTTGCAGTGCAGTCAAAAGAGCAGAGGTGTAGAGCTAAGGGATGGGGAGAGTTAAAACACCTTTATCATTGTAAGACCAGGTGGACTACCCAGCACCTGAGTTCTGATCACATGACTGTGCAGGTGCTGCAACAGCCATAACTTTAAGAGACCAGCCATTAAGTATCAGCCATCCAGTACTGCTTGGTGGGAATAACTTCATTTTGCTAATGTGTGCATTCTACATAGATATTACACAGTGTTAATCTTTAAAAAAACAATGTCACTTTAAAAATAACAATTGATACATTACTTCAGGTTTTGAAAACTTGCCTGGGCTCTGTGCAAGGGATTTTGTTACACTTGCTATTATACGCAGATACCTAGACTTTAAGGTAAGCACCATAACTTGTCATTTATTGTTTCATTGGTGCAGTTAGTAGATGTGGAGTAATATATCTTTATTTCCTAATTTTAATATTTCCAAAACTATTTTAAGTTTAAAAAATTAACTTATTTGCTTCCTACATTTATTAATATACAGAAATTTCTCAGGGAATTAACACCTGATCTATATTGTTTGAAAGTAGGATCATAATATCATTGGCAAAAAGTAGAAGATATTTTAATCAGGTTCTTTTGCAAAGATTTCTAAATCTTGGTATTAGAGAACTGAGTCTGTTAGTTTCATATTTGATATTATAGTTTTTCAGGTGACCTGTAACAAATTTTTAAAAAAGCAAATGTGGATTAAGAGGGAATAGTTGATGCAAAGTAAAAATCTAGTGATCTAATTAACTTGCAGAGACTTGATCGGTTGAAGGAACTGTCTACTTCGTTGTATCTGCCAGTGCAGAGCAAGGGAGCGACATTGTTTTATTCATCTTTCATACATAGTCTTAACAGCTCCTTGAATTACAGCAAGTGGCACACTGTTTTTAAAGAACTACTGAGTTTTGCTTTCCAAAATTTCTTGGAAATTATTTCTTGACAAATTTGTCTAATGTTACTTGGATAGTGACTAGTTTATTGGGATGAGGAGAGAAATTAATACAATATTGATAGTCTTTTAAAACATCTCATTTGTTTATAATATATAAAGGTTGGTGAGATCTGGGATGAAGTATGTGCAGAACTTAAAAAAGAAAAATTTAGACCAGTGACACCTGACCAGGAAGCATTACAGCTTATTACTGAAGCCCTTGAAAATGTTGGAAAGATAGTAGTCTCTCTCCAAACTGAAATGCTAGAAAGCCAGCAGTTTCAGGAACTTCAGGAGGAGGAAAAATGTTATGGGAAGGTAAGTTTGTAGCACAATAATTTATTTAGAAATAACTGTTGTGGGTAGTTAGAATGTTACCTTTTTAATGCTGTAACACTTTTGTGGGACATATATATTATATACTATATGAACTTTAGGATAGAGAACATTTGCAGATATGCAATGACTTGAACTTCGCCCTTTGCTAAACTATAAGCTAAGATTTTCTTAAAACGCCTTTTCCATTAGAAAGACTTCTAAAGAATTATGAATGTTTCCTTCTCCTGCTTTTCATTCTAGATTCATTCTCTCCATAAACAAAAGGAAATAGTCAATAAATCTTGGGAAAATTTCTTAGCTCGGACATCAAACTATGAAGCTTTGAAGGTAAGAAAGTATTCAGTAAACTTCACTAGGGATGATAATATATTTTAAATTCATATTTCTCTAAATAACTGAATTAATAGTTTACTAGTGAAGCCATTACACTATTAATAGTTATTTATACTTTAAAAATAGATTGAATATTAAAAATATGAAAAAGCATATTAAGAATAAACAGTGAATAAATAAGCATATTGAGAATAAGCAATGAATAAATTTCTAAAATATGAGCATAAGAATTATTTTAATTTTTATGATAGTTATTGACAATGTGTGGTTATTTTATGTAGTATGCTTTACATATAGCATAACTATTTACATAATCACATAACTTTGGTTCAGGATTGATACTTAGAAAAGTAGGGTTTGAAATATTCTTCCATATATCATTCTGACATTAAATTTCTCATTAACAAAAGCTAATTTACCTTTGAATTTAAATTTTTCAATTTTTTTGCTAGAAAGCAAAAAGACTTCGAGAAAAATCTATAGAAAACTCAAAACCAAAAATAAAACACTACAGTGCAACTTTCCATCCAACTGACATTAAAGGACTAAATACAACTGTAAGTAAAATTCTTAATTGTTCATTTCTAAATCAAATTAAAGCAATTTATTATTTTATTATTTATTTTCATCCTACTTTTATTATTTTTACAAATAACTCAAGACAGCGAACATATCCAACACACCTCTTCCTATTTTCCCTATCACAATAATCCTGTGAGGTGAGTTGGGTTAAGAGAGAGTGACTAGCCCATCCATCTGGCTTTCATGGCTAAGGCAAGGTTTTGAACTCGCGGTCTCCTGCTTTCCATCTTGGTGCATTAACCACTAGACCAAACTGATTCAATCAAATATTTTAGATATAAATCACTGTAATAAAGTTTGTATTACATTACCATAAAACATTCTAAAACATTTTATTCTGTAAATAAAATATACAAACTTACATTAAAACGGTTTTTTTTCAGATATACCATAAATGTGCCAAAATATTAACTGTATTATTCTCTTATGCTCATGGCTCTATGAATATTTAAGAAAAGCTTATTTTCATTTTATCAATGGCCTTTTTGACCTTTTGTTTTTGAAACACAGTAGTATCTATGGAGATTCTTAGTCATCCAGGTCATGGTTGTCCCAAAGGTGCTTTTTTCAAGAAGCATTTGGACTTACTGGTTTTTCCTTATGAAGAACAGAGTTGACGAAGATTCTTGAATGAGAAGCAAAATATCTTCAAAGAAAAACCAGAAAGTCTACTTGCCTCTTGAAAAAAGCACCTTTGGGACAGTAGAATGTAGCTTTCTTTTAGGAAGGCATTTCCAATACACTATTTTAGTTTGTTAAAATAATTATATTAAAGTTGATTTTTATTCAGTCAACTTTTTGTAAATTGGATGCATGGTTTAAAAGTATTAAATAATTGGCTTTGGTTCAGAAAAACCTCTAATATTTTCCTCCTATCTATCATTTTTGTAAAACATTTTGATTTGAACATAATATAAATTAGGATATAGATGTGATTGTAAGCATATGTGGTGGTACTTTTGATTCTTTCTAATATACATAGACACACACATGAACACAAAAAGTACAATCTATTGGATTTCATACTATTAAAGTAAGCAGAATTTATAAAACCTTCCTTTATTACAGTGAGGAAATAATGCTGATTGCTGACTGGAATAGAGATACTACTACAGTGAGGAAAAGCAGTTTTTAGAAGTCCAAAAAAGATGTAGGGACAATAATTTACTAGTCTTAGCAAGTGCAATATACAAATGAAGAGTTGGCTATCCTATCTCTTACTTATTTCTCTATATATTGCAAATGACAGTTTACTTTTTAGTCAGTATTGATTCTATAAATTATGTTTATATAAATAATATCGTTTAAATAAAAAAACTCAAATCTAAGCAATAAAATAAGAATATATTTTTGAAACAAAAATGTAATTTTGATAAAGAAAATAGAGTGATGAATAAGAAACAAACATTTTTAAAGTCAAGTTAATAAAACTTTGCATGCATGCATACATACATACATACATACATTTGTTTTCTTAAGTTTTTGCGGGTATTTATATATATGGTATTCAGCTTTGTTCGGGTATTTTCCCACGTCATTATAATTGTGCTTTTAAAGTTGTAGCCACGTTTCGGCAGAGTCTCATCTGCCATCATCAGGCTTCTGTAATGTGTTCGTCTGTGAGTCGGGCTTTCACAGCCGTTTCTGTTTTAAATTTGGTGCTAGCCTATTGCTGTGCCAGAATGGTTTTTTCTTCATCCTGATTGGTTGAGAGTCTTGGTCTGTGTTTATTGGTCTTGGAGTTTGCTGTGTTCTGCTTGATTGGTGTTTCTAATATCTTCTGTCTGTTTTATAGTGTTTTTTTGTCTACAAAACACACACACACACACACACACACACACACGCACGCACACACACACACACTTAAAGCTGCCAATCTTTCAGTTTCTCAGATTGGAAAATAGAAATGAAACTGAACTCTTGTTTTTGTTTTTTCATATTATTGAGTAACATTTTTATTTTTGCAGGTTGCATCTGGTCGCTTGGTAACAGTGGAAAGTACACCTTCTGAATTAATTGGAGGGCCGCTAGCTGATACAGATCTTGCACTGAAAAAGCTTCCAATTCGTGGCGGAGCCTTAAAAAAATTTGAAGGAGTTAAAGTAATAGATTCGTTCAAGAAAAGTTCAGTAACTGTGAAATAAATGTTGTTCAATACTGATATTGACCGTTCTGCATAATTCTGTACTTAGAGTTTGTTTATATATAGGTGCATCTTAATGGCCTATTTGGATCATATGGGACATTAGTAAAATGTTATCTTTAAATAACATATACTTGTATCTATGGGTGCATATATACATATTCATGTATAAATAATGTGGACATTAATATTTCAACCAATAAATCTAATACATTATGAAGATCAGTTATGTCTAATCTTTGCCGAATTAACTCAATTTGCAGTACTAACTAAGATGCATTTAACTCTGTGTATTATGCTAACAAACATCTGAATCATAAAAAGAAGGAAAAAGGACATAAAGGAACAAAATGAAAGTGCCATTGGTAATCACTGTTATAATTAAGTAATTGCTTTCTAATAAGTTGAATGGGAGAAATGCTGGAACATGATGTGTTGCAGAGATAAAGGTTTTTTAAAACTTTCATTAACAAAGTGGATGATTCATTGATTACACCTATATGCATCTTAGTTCACTTTCAAATGTACTTATTGGGATCAAAGACATCAAGAGTAATATCTTCTTTTCATGGAAAATCATGATCAAAATAACCTCAAATACCGAGAACTATATTGCCTTTTCATGGAAATTGTTTCATGTAGAAACTCCGAGTCATAATTCACTCACAAACATTTCACAACAAGTCAAAGAAGAAAATATTTATAAACTATCATGTTTATTGATGAATTAGATCATAAGAACATGGTGAAAGTTTAAAAATGTGGATAATATGGTCTCTGCTAACAAGGGATTTAATTTGTTAGCACACATCTTTTTCTAGATACAGACATGAATTTATACAAGTAGAGGTGTACCTTATGAATTTTGAGATATAAAGGTATGGTGATGTATAAGAATTTTGACATTGAATTTACAAAATTAAACTGAATAATCACAACAGAAACATAAATATTACCACAAATATTTAGTCAAAGAAAATAATTAATTAACACACATATTTCAGCATGGAACCATCAGAATATTCATAATGTCGGGTTCTGTCACATGCCCAAAAGAAAGAATAACAGCCACAACAGTGTTTAATTGATGTAAGCAATTTATCTTCCTCTGGAATGTGTGCTTAGCTGACCAGCTGCTAGACAATGAAAGCTAACAGAGATTAAAGTCAGGGCTAATCACTAGCCCGTCCCACCACCTTTATACACCCAATGTGCCCTGCCACAATTATCCTGACACACCCCAACAAATTATCCCGGCACACCCCAACCAGCTGGCACAAGCTCCGTTAGTCTTCTCGAGAGGAACTCGTTTCCAGCTTTCAGTCCTATGCTATTTATACCTGCAGGCTTGCAGCAGTTTAATGATCGGGAGTCACAGAGCTTCATAGCAATGTCCATGGCCGGGCCACCCCCAGAATGGATGACATCAAGCTGACATGTGGCCCTCTACAACAAAGGAGGCACCTGCAGACCAGGAAATACAGGAAGAAACATTTAACGTAGTCACCCCCTCCCGGCTTATGGGGTTCCTCCTATGGTATTTTACAATTGCTTGGGGTGCCCTCATAGCCATACTGTTTACCCAGGAAGCCTCGGACAATGGTTATCCTTTCCATAGCACTAGATACTGTAATTGGCCCATAATAGGACCAGGACTTGGGAGTGAAGGGCCTCATATGGAAGCTGACCTTACTAGTCGTAAAAGGCTACAATGGAATACAGGGTGAGTTCTCCCCAGCAACTTTAGTAGTTTAAGTTGTACAGTGACCAGATTGATGATTTTCTCAATTAGGAAAGCCCAATGTATTTGGGTACCAGTTTCTTGCTGGGAATCTTTAGGTTTAAATACTTGGTTGACAAATAGACTTTCTGATCCACATGGAAGTTGGGTTGTGGGGCTCGTTTCTTATCAGCTTGTTGTTTATATAGATTTGCTCATTGTCTGATGCCTGTTTAACTGTTCCCCACACCTGCTGCATGTTATTTATCCATTCTTGTAACCCCACCCCCTCTAGTACTTCCCGAGGGCACTCTGGTATCGGGACAAAGTCTTGGCCATGCACTATCTTAAACGGAGAATATCCAGTACTAATGTGTATAGCATTGTCGTAAGCCACCTCAGCATAGGGTAATAAATCCACCCAATCTGTTTGTTGATACTGAACATAACACCATAAATACTGCCCCACCATGGCATTGGCTTGTTCGACCCCTCCATTGGTAGCCAGGTGAAATACTGAACTCGGCCCTTGCAAGGATCATGGTGGGATATTGGCTCCAGAACTTAGCTGTAAACTGGATGCCACAGTCCAACACAATTCTTCATGGTATACCATGCAGACAGTATATGTGCTGAATGAATAGTTTGGCTAGTTTCCTGGTGGACAGTAAACCGGGACAGGCAACAAAATGGGCTTGTTTGGAAAATAAATCTATAATGGTCCAAATGACTGTGTTGCCATGGCTTTCGGGGAGGTCAACTATAAAATCCATGGCAATATCTTCCCATGGTCTGGTTGGCATAGCAACTGGTTATAGTAACCCAGGTGGTTTTCCTGTTCTTTTCTTCATGGTGGCACATACCACACAGCTTTGCACATAGCTTTCCAGGTCTTTTTCATACCTGGACACCAGAACTGCCGATTTGTCAGGTGAAGAGTTTTCACAAACCTGAAATGTCCAGCGGCTTTCACGTCATGGCAACTATGCAATACCTCTAGCTGTAATGAACTGGGGACATATATTTTCAATCCCTTCCAAGCGAGTTCATCTCTCATGGTAAGTATTTGCCTATGCTCTTTGAACCAAGAATCTGTCTCCAGTATAGAGATGGAATTCAGCCAGTTTGTGGCGGTTCTGGTGACTCGTTAGCAAGAATTTGGTGTGGGTCACAGAACCATTAGCGATTTCTGGCTGGCCATGCCCCGAACCGGTTCCCAGTTGCCCGAGTAGTCACCGCTCGCTTGCTTGCCCCACCCATCCTCTCGCTGCTCTTGCTGCTCACTTGCCCTGCCTGCCTGCTCGCTTGCTCCGCCCGCACAACGCTCGGCTCGCCCATCCCAAGCCCACCCTCTAAAAACCCTTCACCACATGGCCCTATCGCTTGTACAGTACATGCTAGTTTGCTGTGTGGCTGCCTGCCTAAGCTGATTTGAGACTGACTCTACTCTACTCTACTCTACTCTACTCTTCCCAATGGACCTTCCAGCCTTCTCCTGCCTACAGGACCAGGTAAGTACTGACTTGCTAGCTGCCCGCCGCCCAGCCCCAGCCCTAACCTCTGGCGCTCCTTCCCGCAGCCCACCTCTTTCCAACCTTCCGGCTGCTTCCGGAGGCCATGGCCTCCAACCTGGGGCCTGGCCCAGCTGGCCAAGCCACCACGATGGCTTGTACTGACTGCCGGAGGTCTTCATGGCTTGTACTGACTGCTGGATTGCCTCGGCACAGCCCGCCCTCTTCCCAACCTTCCGGCTGCCTCTGGAGCCATAGCCTCCAACCTGGAGCCTGGTGTAGCCGGCCAACCTGCTACGATGGCTTGTGCTGGCTGCCGAAGGCCCCTGGATCACCTTGGCGCAGCCCGCCCTCTTCCAGATCTTCCAGCTGCCTCTGGAGGTCATGGCCTCCAACCTGGGGCCTGGCGCAGCCGGCCAAGCCACCACAATGGCTTGTGCCAGCTGCCAAAGGCCCCTGGATCATCTCGGTGCAGCCCGCCCTCTTCTAGATCTTCCAAGCCGCCGTGATCGCTGCCCCCCAAAGCTTCTAAAAGCCCTCAGAGAAAAGGCCTTTTTTAAAAGAACCCACTTCCCTCCCACCTCCAGCCTCCAGCAAGCACCTACCTCTTTCAGACGTCTTTTCCCGATTCCCAAACTGCTGCTGCAATTTCCTGCCTTGCTTTTGTGATGCTCATTGGTGAGCAACTGATTCTGCCTGCCTACTTTCTTCAATTGGGTAAGTAAGCGGCTTTTTTTCCTACTCATTATTTAAATCAGGGCAGGGGTCTTCAAACTTGGCAAGCTTAAGACTTGTGGACCTCAACTCCCAGAATTCCTGAGCTAACATGACTGGAGGAGGGCTTCTGAAGTCCACAAGTCTTAAAGCTGTCAAGTTTGAAGACCCCTAATTTAAAAAAACAGTAAGTGTGTTAATTTTTTTCCTAAAAAAATAGTCATATAAAATTTGGAAAATTTTAGCTGCTTTTCTATTTTTAGGAAGCAGCTGCTTTGTGAGATTGTCATTGTGTGTGTATGGAAGTTCTTTTGAATTGTGTGAAATGTTATGTGCCTATAAATTAAAGAGATTTTTCAAGCTGTATCTGCTTTGTGAGTGTGTGTGTGTAGTTTTCAGTTGTGTAGGGAATGTGTTTTCAGTTGGGTAGTTTTGTGGGTCTGCTACCAATCCAGTCATGTTACACACACTCACAAAGCAAATACAGCTGGAAAAATCTAAAAATATAGCTTTAATTTATAGGCACATAACAACATGTCCTAGCATTTTTTGATGTTGATGTTTGCAGCATGCAGGCCAGGGGTTATTTTACGTGAAGTGCAGCTGCTTTTATGAGTTCTGAGAAAATTAGTAACCTGTTTTGGGGTATAATACTTCACCATTATTAAAGCTGGTTTTAACGGGAGCTGAGCCTGCTTAATGGGTTTCAATGTTCATGATTGCCCTGCTATTGTTCTTGACTGGGTCTTTTGTCTTTCCTATCATGGTGGTTAATTCTGCCAGGAATCAGGAAAAGGGGACCTCCAGGTGAGTTACCTTAATAATGGCTGTACTTTAGTGTTGCTTTTTGTTGTCTGGCTTGTTTGCCTGGCGGTTTCTTAAAGGCAGAAGGACTGAGATTTCTGGTGTGAGGTTTTGGGTCCTTGGGGGAACAATCCCGAGTTTTTATTGCTGTGGCTTTGTCTGGGGATTAGTTAAAAAACTGGTTTTTATCTGCAGTATTTTTGGGGGGCTGGGAGGTGTACTCTCAAAGTTATCTACACATTAACAATGATCAAATACTAATAATATTTGCTTATCCTTTTTACTGAACTTTCCTTATATAATAGGTGTTTTCTTTTATACTTTTACATTTCTAACTTCTGTTTCTAGCCATTGATAAAAGAAATCCCCATGTTAAAAAGTATTCTAAGCCTTCTCCTTGATTGTAAATTCTTTAAATTTAAATTTCTGCACATTCTAATATTTTTATTCATTTTCA